ATTTTTTAGTACTATTTAAAAAGGAAAAAATTAAAATATTACTATATAAGAAGAGTAGTAATTATATAGTAATTTTTCAAATAATATATGTTATTCCCTTCGTCTTAATTATAGAATTCGCGTAAAATTTTGAGAGTTGATCGAATTTGTGATATTTTAAATTTATTTTTTAGTACTATTTAAAAAGGAAAAAATTAAAATATAATGAAAGAGGAGTGTATAAAAGTAGGTGGGCCATATTTGTGATAGGTGGGCCATCTTCAAAAACCAAATATAAAAGTAGGTGGGTCATGGTGCCACGTGTCGAAAGAAGAGTGAATTATTCACTCTTCTTATATAGTAATACTTAAATAAAATATTATATATATTATCTCTTTAAATTATAAAAAAAATTCAGCGCCAAATGATCCGAATATTTGTCACAGTGTGAGCTTTTCCAGTAGTACAAATCCTCACCCCAAATTAGATCGAACCCCGAAACTAAAATGGCGGAGGCAGAAACGCCAAATCGGAGCCCCGAAATCCGGAAAGACAAAATCCACAACAGGTGGGTACTGTTCTCTCCGGCGAGATCGCGCCGACCGTCGGACTTCAAGGCCAAATCGAACCCACAACCGAACAATCAAACAGAATGCCCATTTTGCGCCGGCCACGAGCACGAGTGTGCGCCGGAGATATTCCGTGTACCAGCAGATTCCACTAACGATTGGAAAATCAGAGTTATCCAAAACCTATATCCGGCAGTCAGCAGAGAATTGGATTTCCAAAATCCAGTTTCGCTCGTCGGTGATGTAGCAGTTAGTGGATTCGGATTTCACGATGTGGTTATTGAATCGCCGGTTCATTCAGTAAATTTGAGTGATCTTTCTCCGGCTCAAGTTGGGGAGGTTCTGCTAGCTTGTAAGAAGAGGATCGAGCAGCTCCGGAGTTGTGATTCTATCAAGTATGTTCAGGTTTTATTCTGATCCCATTTCAAAATGCATGATTAGTTTTGAAATCAATTTGTCTATTTTTTAGTTGATTTGGTATATTCATTCCTTGTATTTGTATGAAGTTTAAATAAATGCACTGAAAAACTACATAAAAATAGAAAACTAGTTGTAATTGCATCGAAAATTACCCTTTTGATTTGATAATAAATAGAGTTTAGAATCACTTTCTTGTTATGTAATGAATTAATTGGTCTTTCTCATATGAAATTTCTTTTTGTTTAAATTTTGACTTTTAACCTTACAACTTTGATTAGCCGTATTTGTTAATCTATTTAGTTCTGCTAGTTTTCATTTTTCTGTATTCCCTTGGTTATGCAAACTAAATGATTTTACTGTGTACATTAACGGAGAGAGGTTGGACAATGTATTTTCCTTTCAGTCTTACAAATATAAGTCTATTCCAAACGCTTCAATCTTCTTGCTTTTGACCAGACTGACTTGCTAAAATACTGGACCAATTATGAGGAGACATGTTTGTTGGATTAAGTTATAGCAATTCATGGTTAGTTACTGTATACTTTCCATTCGAGTTCTAAAAATTTCATTGTCTATCAATCCCTTGAGGGATATCATCACAGTTAAAGCAGTTTCTTAATAAGTATTTAGGTGAAGTACTTAAGAGGTAGATTATGCTAATCTGAGCAGGGGCTTGTGATACGTAACTCTCCATCCATTTTTTGTGAACTGGTTGATTGGCATGGTAGATTATTTTGAGTTTGTATTTTTAGTGCCAGGAGAAAAGCAATGTAGTATTTGAATGAAGTTTGTTTGATAGGATAAATAGCTAAAATATCACATTGGACTGTCAATTTGAACTATTTAATGAAAGAACACTTGAAACTTGCAAATAGTGTAGCATACTTTTGGTATCAAGTTGAGCATCCAAACTACAATCCATTTTTGAGAACGGGTATGTTCTCTTTGTTAGCTTCTCATATTTATTACGTATTTGATTCCTGTTCGCTGAATTCTCTAAAATATGCACTCCTAAGTTAGTTAGTTATTGATAATCTGGTAGTCATCCCAAATCTATGCAAGAGAACTGATTAATTATCATGAAACTAGAGATGAGTGAGCACAATGGAGATTTAGTAGCAGTATGAAAGCCTACTGGCAATTGTCAGCTGAGCTGACAGTCTTCACATTCATCTTTCTTCATACCAATTCGATCATTATGTTGGGATGATTCCAGCACAATCACCCAAGTTAAGTTTCGTAAGGCAATCGGGTGACTTTCTGTTTTTTCCCAATGTTCAGCCTCTAGATGCAAGGTGGTTATAAAGTCAAGTTTTCATTGTTTCCCTATCAGTTCCTTATCTTCTGAATGCTATGTTATGCCTTCCCTATTATTGTTATGTCCTCTTTACTTTTGTATTTTTTTTTTCAAACTGCTTTGATATGTGTTACATGAGGTGAGGGTCTTTCGGAAACAATCTCTGCCTCCACGAGGTAGGAGTAAGGTCTACGTACAAACTACCCTCCCCTGACCCCACCTATGGGATTACACTAGGTATGTTGTTGTTGTTTTTGAATATGTGCAAAGGATCTGCAGCATGAAACAACATCTATTGTTTTTTCCTCTTTCTCGTTGAGTACTAATGGTTTGTTCATAGTCAGCACGTTTGTCCCATCAAAGACTACTGCACTATATAATATTGATCGACTCACTAACTTTTAAAGGTGTTCAAAAACCATGGAGCCTCTGCTGGTGCTTCGATGAGCCATTCTCACAGCCAGATGATTGCTCTTCCCATTGTTCCTCCAACAGTTTCTGCCCGTCTGGACAGTATGATGGAATACTACAAGCAGACTGGAAAATGCAGCCTGTGTGATATTCAACCAAATGAATTGTTAATTGCTGAATCAGACCATTTCATATCACTGGTCCCCTTCGCTGCAACTTTTGCTTTTGAGATTTGGATAATTCCCCGTGATCACTCTTCTCATTTTCATGAAATAGATAGTGAGAAGGTAATGGAAGCTTTGTTTGTCCATGCTTTGTTTTCATGAGAAAATGATGTGAAATTACACTAGTCTAACTTTACTAATGTCAGTTATCTGCAAATTCTACATGAGAAACTTACAACCTTAATGGATTACGACTTGTGTCAAGTTGACCGTGAAGGCTTTGGCATTTTCAAGTAGAATTGCTGATTGTAGTGAAAAGAAAAAAGAAATCTCATAGCATATGTGGCTGAGGAGGGGGAAACTGATTCAAGAAAAAGATTACAATGTTCTTGGTCGTACTAATTTTCAAATTGTTTTTCTTTCTCAATAAACAGTCAGTTGAATAGCTTGTCTAATGTTTTACCGTTCAAATATGCAGGCAGTCGATCTTGGAGGGTTGTTGAAACTCATGCTTTTGAAGATGTCTTTGCAGTTGAACAATCCACCATTCAACCTTCTGATTCATACTTCCCCATTTCAGGATGACCCCTCATATGCACATTCCACACACTGGTTTTTACAAATAGCTCCCCATTTGAGTGGAGTTGGTGGATTCGAGATAGCAACGGGATGTTACATAAATCCTGTTTTCCCAGAGGATGCTGCCAAAATTCTAAGGGATGTGAGAATCTCCAATAACAATATTTAGAGGAAATATATTAAATCTAATTATGTATGTATTATCTTTAGATACGGTAGCTAAGAAAATAAGAGGATGTGAATCCATCATATGTTGTTTCGATGGCACCTGTTTCAATCATAGTTATTTGTCCCTCTTCCTTCATTTAGTTTCACTTTCCATTTCTTCCTTCTTCAGTCTGACCATTTCTATTTCTTTTAACTTGTTCTTGCTTTGCATCGTTCCTCATTCTTTTTCTCAGTTCTAGACTGTATTATTTCCTTTTTCCAAATGTATGTAGAGAATAACAGTAGAAAAATATAATTGAAGAGGTCTTCTGTCGGTGCAAAATCATTCATTAGGATTGAAAGGTTTAACTAAAGAAGAGAAGGTATGCAAAGAGAACAAAGATTTTAGATAGAGGAACTTGGTTATAGATGAAGACTTCTTGAATAAGGTTAGTTGCTTTGAATTGGATTGATGTGGGTTTATTTCGGGTTGCTCAAATGCCAAAGGGTACCCCTGTTTATACTTGTACAAGGATGATTCTAGCTATAATAAGATTAGTATAAATTGTACTTTGTCACGAATCATGCTGACGTGATCGACATTCACACCAATCCCTATTGGGATGAATCAAAACTAAGCATCTATCTCATGCAATATCTAAATATCTAAACAAGACATATAAATAAAACGACGTAAGTAGAAGTCTCCAAAGTGATTAAATAAATAAACAATGAAAGCCTAAACAAAACATTTATAGAATTCGAAAGTTGATGGGCTAAAACTCTAACTAAAACTGTTTAAGAATAGCAAATGAATACATAAATAGTCTCAATGTTTGAAAAGAAGACATCAAAAGCAACGAAGATTTGCGGCAGTCTGAATGAAAGTAGTTCACCCTCAGATCTGAAAGTAACAGAGCTAAATACGGGAATACGTAAGTAGCGATATATAAATGGGCAGATTTTTCAAGTATACAAATTAACAACTGTATTTACACCAACATAGCAATACTTTTTTTTTCAATTATATAGCAATACTTTTTTTTTCAAAAGTAGAATTTAAATTTTTAAAAAAAAGATTTTCCAAATCAGCCATGCTTTTTTTAAGTATACAAATTAACAATTGTATTTACACCAACATAGCAATACTTTTTTTTTCAATTATATAGCAATACTTTTTTTTTCAAAAGTAGAATTTAAATTTTTAAAAAAAAGATTTTCCAAATCAGCCATGCTTATCCCAATTACCATAAATTTCTCCAATAATTTTACCTTCCCTAATTTATTCAAATATGCTATATATTATCTCCCATAAATAGAGGTTTCCTACCAAAACATAACTCCTTTCTCTGACATAAAAAATCGGCCAAAGAACGACTATTGAAAAAAAATGCATACCAATAATTTCTCAATTCTAATTCAACACAACGGGCAATGGGACTCATCAGGTAATTATATTAAAAATAATACTCATGATTTTTTATTACGTTGTTGAATTTGATTTTTCACAAATATCTATTTTGTACTTTTTGGTAGTTATTCCCTTTGTTTATTTTGTCAATTTTGGTGTAAATTAATTCATACAATTTGGTTGATGTTCGGGATCGTCGAAATTTTGGTGTAATTTCAACAAATTCGTATGATTTTGCTGTACACTGATGTGTCAAATTTGTTTTTTGTTAAAGTTTAGGTTTAATTGGTATGATGTGTGCCGTATGGTAGCAAATATTTTATATCAATAAGTTTGCGATATGTATTTCATTATTTGTTTAGGTATGTGATCTTGTATAATTGTCGCTAATAACTGACACCAAAACAAATAACCAGATGCATGTTTTAGTGTATTGTTTGGTCAAATTTATAATATCTTACATATGAACATACGCATATTGAAATGAGTGTAGTAATAAATAATTTGGTGTAATTGGTGGTGTAAAAAACTGTAAGTTTGACGATCTATGGTATATAATTAGAACCTCATAAATAAAAATATGGTACATATTTTTAGTGTATTTTAAGTATGTGAATTGGTGTAAATAATAATTTGAAAAATATTTCCTACATTTATTGATGGTAACCTAATAAAATCATAAATTTTAAAAATTGGTTTAAGGGTATGTAATATTTGACTGTTTTTTTACGTTATTACATGGTTAAAATATTGATAAAATACTTTGGTATTTCTTTAGACTGGTTTTTTAAGATCATTAAATGGTTAAAATTTTGGTAAAATACTTTGGTATTTCAATAAATGGCTTATATACCAACGAAAATCAATGTAAAAACAAAGCTAAATAAGTTGATTACTGTAGTAATTAATTCTGAAAGTTCCTTTTAATATTAACAAAGAATTTGTTATTTTAAACAGGCAATTACATGGATTACAATATTGAAGGAGTTATGTATGATCCAACCACCAAATATGAAGGCTTGATTACAGC